TTCATCTCCCGCAATCTTTATATCCGATAGTATCAAGAAAGCCAACACTTATCACGTTCGACCCCACGTTACCTTTTATCATGTCGCCAATCATCAACACCAGGCACCAAGTATCCAATTCCTTCCGGCTTCCTAGAGTATTCTGCATTTATCCCCCAATGAAACATCTTTTTAATATTCCAGTAGGCAGTAGTGAGCAGTCCCACTCCCACCGCCTCTATCCATCGGCCTATCCGAATCCTTCCCCTTCCCGCCGGTCCCTTATTTTCCTTCAACGTCTTCCAAGTACAATTCACGTAGAAGAAATCTGTTGAGGTGTGAAACGAATTGTGTTGGACCGACACAGCATGGCCTGCATGCGATTTATAAAAAGTGTGGACCGAGCCGTGCCAATTCATAAGTCGTTCTAGGTCGGGCCTCCTCCCCAAAGATATTTTGGGGGTTGGTCCAGCTTGGCCCACGGTCCAAGCTCATACGGGCATATGCCGTGTCATGCTATGCCACGTGCTGAGATGGCCCGTGGGCCGAGTCAAAGTTATTTATTTAAAAATTGAAAAAAAAATCTTAAAATTTTTATTTTATATAAATTTTGATGTATACAATTGTTTATATATAATAATTAAATAAAATAGTATGATAAAATTGAAAATAATTATTTATTTTATTAATATATTATATATTATTATATCATTATAATTTATATAATATATTATATATATAATATATATAGCCATACCGGTCCAACCCACGAACCTAATACTCCAAGCCCGACACGGCCCATGGCCATTGGGCCCGACCTGGCACGGCCTGATGATCTCTGATGAACAACCCCGAACTTTCTTACTTTCTAATTATATATGCATTCACCCTGCTGCTATTTTGATCTCTCAAACAGTTATCTGTTGAACAATATATAAGAATTCATTAAAATCAGTGTTGAGTAGGCAACACTGATTTATGGTTTAATTTGGAACCTAATCTATATTTCGGTTTAACCATTTTAATACTTTTTTTTTATTTTATGATATTTTACCACCAAACCAAAGTACCAAACTCATAATTCATATTCATCATTTATGGAATTATGGCTCTAAAACAATCAATTCAAAATACAATCCAACTCCAAAAAAAGAATATGAAAAAGGGGCATAGGAACAAAGGGGAATTAGATTCGTGTTTAATATGGACAACTGGTTTTTACTTACCAGACCCTTATTTTAAGAATCGACATATGTAAAGTTCCATTTAATGTTTATATGAATATAGAGTGGTATATTAATACTAATATTTTTAATTAATATATTTTTAATTTCTATATACATTAATTTTTTTATAATACAGTTTTTGGTTTGATTCGATTAAAAAATTTTGCCCAACTGAACCAAAACCAAAAATCGATTTTTTTTTTTTTTTTTAATTCAAAGTTTCAAACCAAAGTGAACAGAAACCAAATAAACCGAATCAAACTGACTTATTTGGTTTGGATCAGTTTGGTTTTGAGTTCGGTAGTCAAATTGCATTCAGTTTGTGAAGTTGAATTAGTTCAAATCAAACCAAAGCATGCACATTTGGTTTCGAATCAGGGTATATCCGAATCTGATCCAATATTATTAACAGCAAATTCGACCGCACCTCATAAACATGGATTTGAATATGAATCCGATGAGGAAGTCAGATATCTGGATATGATCCGTTCCAATGTAATTTAAAAAATAATAAAATATTAAAAGAAAATTAAAATATAACAATTTAAATGAAGAAAAACAAAAAAATACAAGTATCTTTTCAACTATTTTCATTATATATATATACATTTTTTATAAAAAATAAATAATATAACAAATTTACAAAAATGCAATATAAATAATGTATTTATAAATAAATAACATATATATGTATGTTANATATATATATATATATATATATATATATATAGGACTAGATAGGAAGTGATCCAAATTCAATCCAACTTTTGATCGGATCCTATTATCCGACCTGAAGATCCGGATTAGGGATATCCGAATTTGACAAAAAGGAGCGGATCAGCTCATGATTCGACCCATTTGCACCCCGCTTGGCTAGATTCTTCATTTTGTAATTTTTTTTGTGTATCCTTTTTTTTTGTTCATTTATCAAAAGAAATGTGAGATTTAGGGCCTATTTGTTTCCTTTTATCTCTTATTTCTTAAAGTGCAATCATACAACATTTTGTTTTCCAATAATACCCTAGAAAGACAAACAAAAACTCTCATATACGGGGTCAAAATAGATATTTGATCATTTTCAGAATTCAGAACAACATTCTCTACATTCAAAGTTCAGAGGAAAAAAAAGTTCACCAATACCAATATACCTCTTGACATAATTATTGCACATTCAGATGTCAGACTTCAGAACAAACGAACAGGCCCTTAAATAGAGTGAATTGAATGTGGTGAAAAGTATTAGTTCAATTTCAAATTTAATCCTAAAAATTAAATAGGGACTAAATTCAAAAATGAGTATTTTAGTAAAAAAAAATTCCACAATCTTATTCATATTTTTAATAGTAGTGTAAATATAGAATTATAGATGTATTAAATTTTTACTATAGTTTTTTTTTCTATTTTGTGTGTGAAACTAATTCTGATATTTTACACTTACTTTTTGTTTAATATATGATATTATACAAATGTCTGAATGTTTTTTCGCAAAATATATGTATTTTTTATTTTTGTATTTTTATATTTTATTAATTTTTATTATTATTATGACGTTAAGTTTAATACATTTAATCCAAAAGTTGAACTATTTATTATTAATTTTTATATTTCATTTTTGACTAGTTATAAATTATGTATTTCATTTTCATTATTAATAAAAATAATTTGATTACATAAATGTGTCTAATTTTTCTATCTTTTTTTGTATTTTTCTATATTTATTTTTATTTTAAAATTTTTATTACCTAACTATGATCGACTTCATAGATTGATCAATTTGACTCAAATGGTTGAATTGCTTAACCACCACTTGGATAAAGAATGGTTTTGTTTTTGAGTCAATTTTAAAATATATGGATTTATGCTATTAAAAATATTGACATAGATCTAATTTGTAGCATTTATTAGTGAAAGATAACTTAAAAATATAGGATTTAATAAGAGAAAATGAGATTTAATACCTTAAGTATAAGACTTAATTAGAGGAATTTAAATGAAGTGGAAAGTAATGATTAAAGTTACATTTTCAACCATTACAATTAGAGATAGATCAAATACATAAATATGAGCATTTTAGGTGGTGTTCGACACCGTGCTCATCTCGTGGACGGGACTGCTTCAATCCCGTCCATGGGATGAACACCCATTCTACAGGCTATGGATGGGACCGGTCCATGATATTTCCAAACCCCAATTTCTCATCTACGACAAATTCTCGTGGTTAGGGACCATCCACACTTGATTTTTGATCCCCCTACTTCACGCTTTCCCTCAAAGACTAAAACCTTATTGTCTACTTCACATTTTAATATTTTTGTTAATAAAATATTAATTATTTTACTTAATTTTTTAATTTTTTAAAAGTTTAATGTTTTATCAATAAAATAATATTTAAAATATATTCTTAAAATTTTTAATTATTTTACTATTGTTTTATCAGAAAATTAATATTTATTGGTTAATATTAATTTATTAATGCATTTTTTAATATATTTATCATATAAAATGCAAAAATTAGATAATTATGATTAACTGTGTAGATCAAGGTTTTTGAACCGTCGTTGACCCGGACGGTCAGACCGTTCGGCCCAGGGACCGTCTAGGCAAACGGTTTTGTTTTACCCCAAACCCAGTTTTTGGCCAAAAACCATTAAAAAGGTCAACAACCCGTTGACCCGAGCGGTCGAACCGTTGACCTGTTCAACGGTTTTTATGTTTTTTATTTTTAATTTGTTTGTCAAAACGGGCCATCCGTTTGAACCAGATGGTTGGACCGTCAACCCAAAATTTGGTGGCCATAATGGTTCCGTTTCTAGGTCGTTTTTTAAAATGTTGATGTAGATCATTCATAAATGTATATGAGATACATAGAATCAAAAAGTATGGTGTGGATTGGTCCACACCACGCCTACAGAACGCCTCTATGGGTGTAGACTGGTCTAGTCCACACAATTTGTCCATAGTTCAAAACAACTATGAACTGTGGTGTAGTATAGATTGGTCCCTGTCACAAGGTATAGTGTGGACCAGTCCACACTAGACCTGTTCATGGGCCGGGTGGCCCGACGGGCCGGCCCGGCCCGACCCCCGGACGGGCTTGGACATTTTTATAGGCCCGCGGGCTTAAATTCGGGCCAAAAAGCCCGGCCCGCAATAAATTCGAGCCGGGCTCGGGTTTTGTCAATATAGCCCGGCCTGACCCAACCTAATATTAAACTTAAAATTATTTATGTGATTATGTCCATTTGAATAATTTTTTTTGATTTAAGAATGTAAAATTGTGTTTTAAAATATAAAAGAAAGGGAAAAATACCATCTTGTAGGCCCATTATTCATTTAAATAGAAAAAAAAATACTTATATGAAATTTTAATTCTAATTTGAATAGGGAAAATTGTTTTTTTTTCAATTTGGTCGGGCTTCGGGCTCGAGCTCGGGCTTCGGGCTTTTTACCAGGGCCGGGCTCGGGCCCAAGTTATAGGCCCGTTGGTCGGGCTGGGCTCGGGCTCGGGCCTAGTATATATTCATTAGTGACAAGTGAAAGCCCGGTCCGACCCGGCCCATGAACAGGTCTAGTCCACACCCACCGATTTCTCGTATACACTAAGTCTATAATATATACCCATTCTCAAACAAACTTCCATACAAGATTCACACTTTTTTATGTATAAAATAGATTAATACAGCAAAACATGGCTTCCATTCAGCGTGGACATTGAGTGGGGTCGTTTCTAAATTCTCAAATTTAAAAAAATGGATAGGGGCTTCCCAAACCCGCTTCCCATTTTCTTCCCAACTCAGCGACCCATCCATCCTTTTCTCCTATGGGAGGTGTTGAAGCCAAGTTTTTGTTATGACTTATGGGGTGGGAACTGTTGCGGTGTTGTCAAATGAGAACAGAAAGCAGCTGTTTTCTCCTAAATTTTAATGAAGTGTTTATACTCTTTCCAAATGGACGGGTCGGTGAGTGTTCTTTTAATCGATTCCCTTTTGATTTTCAATTTCGTTCTTTTGACGCTGGTTGTAATCTAAGCAGCTTTTGCAGCCGAAAAGAGGATGTTTCGGCTCAAAATACATTGTACAGGAAGAATAAGAATCGATGAAGCAAATAGCTGTCGTACTAAGACAAACCCCATACGAAGGCAAAGAATACTCATCAGATAGCAACTATACAAGTGAAATACCATTTCTTTTCGGGTGCAAAACGCATTGCTGTAAGCTCTAAATTTCGAGATTTTGGTTCTGCTGCTTATTAGGATTTTGATGCGTTTCTTTCCCAGGATTTGGCTTCCTACTAGATTAGTTAATAGCGGGGTTCTCGCTGAAAATCTGTTTTTTTTTTTTTGTTTCATGTTATTTAATATTTGATTGCTTGGAGCTCTGATGCCTGCTTCTTGATCACCATTGGTAGTTCTTCATAGGTGTTCTTGTGGGAATGCCCTATCTGCTTCATTTTGGATGCAGAGGAAGATAATTGGGTTTTTTTTATTTTTTATTTACCATGGGGCTCGCCATTAAAGCCTTCTTGCTTCTTCTGTTTATGGTTTTCTGTTCTGGAGTTTTCTCAGACGGAAATAAAGGGCAAGCTTCTTCAAGACCTTCTGCTGTAAATATTGGAGCTATATTCACTTTTGACTCTACCATTGGGAGAGTCGCAAAGATTGCCATGGAGTTAGCAGTAGAGGATGTGAACTCCAATTCCAGCATTCTTGGTGGAACAAAACTGGCTATCAAAATGCAGAACTCCAATTGCAGTGGGTTTGTTGGCATTGTTGAAGGTACTTCATTTTTAACACGCTTTCTGCATTTTTCTATTGCTTGTACATTTTCCTTCATTATACCTGGTTGCTGATTCTGATACCTGTCCCAGGTATATATACATGCATCTGACGGTTTTTTAATATATTCATTTGTATGAATTGCAGCTTTGCAATTCATGGAGACTGATACTGTTGCCGTTGTCGGCCCACAATCTTCTGTACTTGCTCATGTAATTTCACATGTTTCAAATGAACTCCGAGTTCCTCTGGTGTCATTCGCAGTCACGGACCCCACTCTCTCTTCGCTTCAGTTCCCCTTCTTTGTTAGGATGACACAGAGTGATCTGTACCAGATGACGGCAGTTGCTGAGATTGTTGACTACTATGGTTGGAAGGAGGTTGTTGCAATTTTCATTGATGATGATTATGGGCGGAATGGGGTGGCGGCATTGGGTGATAAACTTGCAGAGAGACGTTGTAGAATTTCTTATAAAGCCGGAATTCCCCTTGAGCTTGGAGTTAGTCGTGATGCCGTCGTAGATATTCTTGTTAAGGTAGCCCTACTGGAGTCTCGAGTTATTGTTCTGCATGCTAATCCTGACTCAGGCCTCTTGGTTTTTTCTGTGGCACACTATCTTGGAATGATGGGTAATGGTTATGTGTGGATAGCTACTGACTGGCTTTCTTCTCTTTTAGATTCTTCTTCTCCTCTCCCTCAAGAGACCATGGATTTAATGCAGGGAGTTCTTGCTTTCCGTCAGCACACAGTGGATTCAATAAGAAAGAGAACTTTCTTTTCTAGGTGGAAGAAGTTGGTCGGTGGTTCTCTCAGCCTAAATTCTTATGGCCTGTATGCTTATGATAGTGTGTGGTTGGTTGCTCATGCGATTAATGCGTTTTTGGATCAGGGTGGAACCATTTCATTTTCTAATGATTCAAGGATACATGACGCAGAGGGTGGTCGGCTGCACCTTGAAGCAATGAGCATCTTTGACGGAGGGAAGCTTCTGCTGAACAACATATTACAGACCAATATGATTGGTTTAACTGGTCCTATCAAGTTTAATCCAGACAGATCTCTTGTTCGTCCCGCATATGATGTCATTAACATCATTGGAACTGGATTTCGGCGGATTGGTTATTGGTCTAACTATTCTGGGTTATCAGTTGTATCGCCTGAGACACTCTATGAAAAACCGCCTAATCGTTCTAGTGCAAACCAGAAACTTTACACTACCATTTGGCCTGGGGAAACATTAATAAAGCCACGTGGTTGGGTTTTCCCTAATAATGGAAAGGAGTTGAGAATAGGAGTTCCCAAACGAGTTAGTTTCCGGGATTTTGTCTCACAAGTGAGAGGTACCAATCTGGTTAAGGGTTTCTGCATAGATGTGTTTACTGCTGCTGTTAACTTGTTACCTTATCCTGTTCCTTATAAATTTATCCCCTATGGTGATGGTCATCAAAACCCGAGCTACACTGATCTTGTGGATAAGATCACAGAAGATGTGAGTATGAAATTAGCATGCCACTGTGTATAAATTTATAGAATTTTGGCTTCTGAAAATTCTGATTCTTTGGTTTTCCTTGTGTAGGTCTTTGATGCTGTGGTGGGTGACATTGCAATTGTTGCAGATCGGATAAAGATTCTGGACTTTACACAGCCATTTGTTGAGTCTGGGCTTGTTGTAGTGGCCCCATTTAGGAAGTTGAACTCAGGTGCTTGGTCTTTCCTGCGACCATTTACAGCACAGATGTGGTGTGTCATTTGTGCTTTCTTCCTTTTCATTGGAGCAGTTATCTGGATTCTGGAGCATAGGTTGAATGATGAATTTAGAGGCCCACCCAGAAATCAAATTATTACCACCCTGTGGTGAGTTTTGATTGTGCTTATAGCTATCAGGAAATTCATTTTGGGATAATTCCCAATTAAATAGGCTTTACCATACAATTTAAGGGCCATCTCCCTTTTATGTTCATTGTATATTTTCCTCCATTTTTTTATCTTGATACATTCATGGAATCATGTGTTGATAAAGTGATAATAGATATAGCCATGTACCCAGATAAGTTCTCTCTCTCTCTCTCTCTCTCTCTCTCTCTCTCTCTCTCTCATTCCAGTGCATGAGGCTCCCACCAATGTGGGGTCTGGGGAGGGATAGATGTACACTGCCTTACCCCTGTACATACAGAGAGTCTATTTCCAGGATTTGAACCCTGGTCACCCAGGTTGCAATGGAGCAACCAAGCAATGAGGTCCATGTGTGTGTGTGTGTGTGTGTGTGGATATATGTGTGCTAGTCTAAAGTATGGGTATTTGAAAGAAAGAGAGCTTGGGAACTAATAGTAGCCTATTGTGATAATCCACTTTGAGTATGAAATGATTGAATACCGCTTCCATTTGAAAATCAAGCACATTAGGAAGTGAAGTTAGAGGATAGCCATGCCTAGAAAGATAAGACAACAATACATTCGAAGTAGATATATAATATTAAATAAGGAGATAAAAAAGAAACTATATACTTGTCATTTTGTTTATTTAAAACAGAATAATCTGCTTCCTCATATTTCATGATTTTTTTAACGAGAATAGTATCACTCAAACCCAGCAATGAAGTCCATATGTGGAGGGATTCATTGTTTCATTTCATTAATAATATCACTCAAACTTCTTGTGGTGGTGTACTTCTTGGCATCAATCCTAGTCTCTGATGCATCTCCTATTTGTTTACCTTGCAGGTTTAGCTTCTCAACTTTATTTTTTGCCCATAGTAAGTGAAAATGAATTTCTGATTAGTTTTCCCTAATTTTTGGTGGTACAAGGCACCATTTGCAATTATCCATAAAAGGCACTATTTGCAGTTCCATTGAGTATGCTTTTCTCTTCATTTTGCAGGAGAGAACACAATGAGCACCCTTGGAAGATTTGTGCTCATCATATGGCTTTTTGTGGTTCTGGCCATCAACTCAAGCTATACTGCAAGTCTGACCTCAATACTCACAGTACAGCAACTATCTTCACCCATAAAAGGAATTGAGAGCTTGAGAAAAACTGATGACCCTATTGGATTTCAAGTTGGATCCTTTGCTGAACATTATCTTACACAGGAACTTGGCATATCCAAATCTAGGCTTATTGCTCTTGGTTCACCAGAAGAATATGCTAAAGCACTCCAACGTGGTCCTGGAAAAGAAGGCGGTGTGGCTGCTGTTGTTGATGAACGCCCTTATGTGGATCTATTCCTTTCAACCCAGTGCAATTTCAGAGTTGTAGGCCAAGAGTTTACCAAAAGTGGTTGGGGATTTGTAAGTAACTATTTAATAAGTGCAAGTATTTTCTAAAATGCATGCTGATGGGCTTATTTGAGAAAGCGTGGAGGCTTTCCTTTTCTCACTCTTTAGTATAAATTGGAATCTTATTGACAAAACATTAAAAAAATAAAGAAGTTTGAAATAATTAACCACCATTCCAGTTTAAGTGAGAAAGCTTAGAGAAAATAAAAGAAGAAATGCTTGTAGAGTAGAAAGAATTCAATTCAACCCACCAAAAAATGAAAACAAACGTTTGACCACCTATTTTTGGTATATGGGCCTCTTTATTGCAGAAAATAAAAATTTTCTTTGATGGGGGCAACATGTTCTTTCTGCTCAGAGTTCTTTTTTTTGGTAGAGACAAGGGCCATTGGAATTGCTTACCTTTACTTATTTATTTATATTTTATTGCCTTACTGATTATTTATAGAAGCCATCATCCTATACAGCTTATCATTATGTTGTGAATGCATGGCAGGTGCACAAGTTGATAAGTGTTCCATTTTTATGAATAGGGCAATTTACCAATGAGAAGACAAAAAGATGCCCCTGTTTATAACAATTTAAGTTAGTACTTGGGGATATTTTTGACTGATGAAGAAAGTACCTTTTGGGTATAAATTAGGTCTGAATCCCATTTATGAAAGTAAATTATGCCCAAATCAATGGCAAAAAACAGAAAAAAAAAGGAGAGATTATGCCTAGATAAAGAGCAATTATGTTTATATGTCATCTTTCCATGTAAAATCATAGTAATGATTATTTGATCTTGTGGGTTGTTGAAGATGAGGGACATGTTAGTTTTTTCTACTTTGGTATCTTTTTATTTATATTTTACTTTTAAATCTATTTCTTACCAGGCATTCCCACGGGACTCTCCTATAGCAGTTGATATGTCAACTGCAATTCTGGCACTATCAGAAAACGGAGATCTTCAAAGGATCCATGACAAGTGGCTGAAGAGAAGTGCTTGCAGTTTGGATGATAACGAGCTTGAATCCAACCAACTTCACCTCAAGAGCTTCTGGGGACTTTTCCTGATATGTGGCCTAGCATGTTTTGTTGCTCTCTTTATATACTTCTTCTTGATGATAAGGAAGTTCACTCGTTACTTTCCCGGAGCTAGGCACATCAAGACATTCTTATCCTTTGTTGATGAGAAGGAAGAACATTCAAAGACCAGGTCTGAGAGAAGACAATCAGATACGACTTCAAATGGCAGTGACAAGGAAGATGCACTGGAGAGAGAGCCCAAGAGAAGAGAAAGAGAAATTTTGCAGAATGACAATACCAACATTGGCAGTTAATTTGATTGTCTATACGGTTTCATTTTCACCTGTGAGTTGGTCAGTCCCTACTCTGAGTATAGTTGGAAGTCATAAATGTATTTCTCAAGCAGGACATTCCTTCTCACACAAAAATGTATCTATATATCCGTTGTCTATCTTCTGATTCTGAGTCACCCACCAAAATTCCTGGGTAAGCAATGTTCTGCTCAGCTCAGAAACAGTAAAGTAATCTGATGGCTTGTTAGTTGTTATAATTCAAGATAAGATCCATTAAAGAAAGAAGTTCTGGTACGAATGAGTTGGGGAAATTGACTAGTTGACAAACGAGTGGTTCACCCTGTCAAGAGTCGAACTTGGTATGCAATTAAAAGGACGCCTTTCTTTTGTATCTGTTCTCTTCTTAACAGCTTTTGAGGAGAGCTGAGAGCATTATATGTTGGGCTCGCAGACAACCACCCACAGCAAATAAGACTCAAACCCAACATTATAATCCATTCAATGGTCTCGCTATCTCATGGCTATGTAGAGAAACATCTCTACATGTTGGGAAACAGAGGAAAAGAATAGAAAAGAAAAAGGAGATATTGGCCGACAAAGTTGGATGCTGTATATAAATGGGACGAGATGGGGGCCACTGGGGTTCTTTTCAATACCCACCACCCCCACCCATGCGTTGGTCTCTCTAACCCGTTTTGCTTTTGCATATATCTGGATGTCAGTCATTATGAGGATCCAAATCCATTGGCTGAGTCCTTGGGAAATGGCTTTCTTGCTAAAACTCTTTAACCTAAAGATTTCAATTAATATAAGATTCTCAGAAAAATGTATCAATTTTTGAAAAGTGGCAATACATGTTTTAATCATGTATCGATCGATACGTATCGTGCCAATGATTTTTCGATACACCTCTCCAAGGGTTGTATTCGATCTAACACTGGTTCAGATGGTGGCTGGGCCTTAAACCAATTCCTTTGAACCAGTTTCGAAAAATAAATAAAATCTAAAAAAAATACCAATACAGTCTCATACACCCTTTGAACTTTGGATGGGACCTTGATCATGTACGGAATAAAACTATAAAATATAGAGTTTTTTTTTTTTTTTAATTGGACTTTCATGCACATTAAGTTTCAATCCCTACAATTGACCTGATGATAATTTAGTTATTCTTGTCAAAACATCTATCATCTATGGGCTTTCAGGATGCATGCAAAGTTTTGTGGAGAGGGAATCCATGCCCCTTAAAAGAACTTGGGAAATAGATGAGGGTGTCCTTTATGTGTCATTCCTGCTGTGTTAATGTATTTATCGTTAGAAATCAGGTTTACTCGTAAGGCTATGTTTGGTTTTGCAACGCACTAATGCAAAATCATGGTAGTGCAAATGATGTTTTGTTTGATTGTATAACAAATGAAGTAAAATAAGATCTAATGCAGAATTAAGGCTCAATTTGGAAAGAGTATAATTACAAATATGTAAAGTGTAAAATCTTGTAATTTATATTATCTTTTATGTATTTATACTGTATATATTTATATTTGTACTTTTTCCAAACTGAGCTTGAGAGGAGTTCACATCTCTGCCCCACACTGCCCCACTGCACATCTCCCGATGTCATCATCGGAAGATGTTCCCATTACACGGTGGGGATGTGCTATGGGGCGGCCCCTTGTGGGGCAGAGATGTGATCTCACTTGAGAGAGCACAACTCATACCAACATCACAACACATTGCAGCCCTGCATTAGGAGCATCTTCTCATGAATGACAAAATCAAGTATGAGGGATGTTCTCAATACATGGGTGAAAGCGCTGTGAGGTTAGTATGAGGTGCAATCTTTGATGAAGAGCAAATCCAAATTCTTTTCATTCACTATCTAAAACTCACCATGAATTTTTTGCATTTCTCTTAAACTCGCCATTACTTTTTAAAACCTCTAGAGAGCCCTATCATTGAGTTTTATTGTTCAATACTCATCTTCCGCTAAGATTTCCTTTAAATACAAATACAAAATTATGGGTCTCAAACAAAATGATGTGGATCCCATTCTTAATTCAAATACAAAATTATTAATTATAAAGACTTCTAATGGTGTGAGACTATGAGTTTCATTCTTTTAGATGAAATATTTTATTAATTGCAAATTTTATTTAACTTTTTTGGAAAACATAATCTAATTTAGTTTTTAAAAGTAAATTTATCAAATAAATAGTAAATACCAATTAAAGTGGGTTACCATTTACAAATAAGACCTCAATTAATCTCTTATATCATATTAAAAACAATATAATTAAATCAATAGTGCTTTTCAAACAAAGTAAGTCAGAATAGGTTGTCAATTACAAAACGTAAGACCCATATTAATTTTTCTAATTTAATTTTTTATAGCTAAATAGTAAATTTTAAATTAAATAATACTATAATTTCCCTTTACTATGGGGTCATTCTCTAGATAAAACATGATAAGTCTCTTAAATCAAATAAAAAACCTAACCTAAATGTCTAATATAAATAATTTAAAAATTTGAAATAGTTAAGATTAATGATCATATGCTTAGTACCGGGGTTGTTCCTAATAGAGGAGGAAAAGAAAAGAAAAGAGATATTGGTGGACAAAGTTGAATGCTATATACAACATCCAACTTTTTTTTTTTCCTTATCAAAAAAAAGTTGGATGCTATATTGCTATATACAACATCCAACTTTTTTTTTCCTTATCAAAAAAAAAGTTGGATGGTGCATATAAATGGCACTTGAGATGGGGGTTCTTTTCAATACCCAACACCCCCACCCATGGGTTGGTCTCCCTAACCCGTTTTGCTTTTGCATATATCTCGATGTCAGTCATTATGAGGATCCAAATCCAATGGCTGATCCAAATCCAATGGCTGAGTCCTTTGGAAATGGATTTTCTGTTAACTCATTATTACATCTCCCTCCACGCTATGCAATTTTAAACTTACCCCTAAACCATTAGTCTAACTTGATTATTGTGTTCATTATTGAAATAAAATTAATTTTATTAAATATTGTATGTATATAGTACATGTAATCTAATTAAATAACATATATTTATGTTTAAAAATTCATACTAAAAATTAAAAGGATAATATTCAAAATTTTTATTTTATAAGCTAATGCAATAACTAAATAAATAACCTATTAAATTCACATTAAAATAAAAAAATGATGAAATTTATGCAAATAAAAATATTGATAATAGAATAATTATTTTAATACTTAAAATTAATATATAATATTATTAATATTTAAATTTATCTCATGTTAAATAACAAAATATTAAATATTTACAAAAAATCTCTACAAAATATTTGGGAATATAATATTAAATAGAATTTATCAATTCTACCAATTAAAATTTATACCAAAAATGGTTTTTAATTTTAGAAAGACTATAGAAACAAAAATACTAATAATGTAATAATTATATTAGCGATTAATAATTTGCAAGTTATATATAATATAATTTCTAATAAATTTTAACAAATTTGATATATTTTAAATTGAAATTATATATTTTTATAAATTATTAATTGATATTTTAATTTAAATTTGAGAATTTAATATTTGGTTGACTTAGTAAAATATTTTAATTACATTTCCTAGGTATTTATACATCATTTGTGGTTATTTGATTTTAAATTTGGTGTTATTAATATATTTTATAGAAATTGTATATATTTCCCTAGTGTATCAAAATCTTTCGTCGGTATCCATGCATTTTCAAAGTGTATCCATATTCAAGTTGTCCAATATGATACTCAATACCGATACTTTTATCATTGATTAAAAATAAAGCATATATAAACACATATATTTTGATATATAGTATGTATTTGATTTTGTGGGCATATTTATAGATAAGTCGTTGGCTAAACAAAAAGATAACCAATCAAGGGGTATTTATCAAATTCATAGGATGGTCAAAACTCTTCCTGTATCATGTCTTTACAATATGATAGATTTTCCTTTTAATTTAATTTTTGATAAGTAAATAAATTATTTCATTGCAGAAAACAGAATTTGTTTAATTTTACTGAAAGTAACCCCTATTTAATTTTACTGAGACATGGGTCACAGTCCACCATGAGGAGAATGAATTGATATTTGCTCCTCACAGAATGTGTCTCAGGCGGACCATATAACCACATCTCACCATGTATTGGGAACATCTCTCCATCAATAATATATACAAGTATGGGAGATATTCCCAATGTGCCGCCAGGAAACGCTCTGAGGTTGTTGTGAGGCGCGCTGAGTGAGGAGCAGATCCAGACTTGAGGAGAAGACACAGTGATGCAACAAAAGGAAAAAGGACCTCTATTTTACTAATCGTTTCATTGATTTGTTCCTATTTAATCGTTAATCGTTTTCCAGGGAAAAGAACAAGGAAGAATCCAAAATTACCGAGTTCACATCGTCTGCATTTGGGTGGCAGACGAATAAAAAAAGGCCACGTCACTCCATCTTATTAATCATAACTTAACGGAGTCCAAACGGTTAACGGGAGCCTGGACTCAAAAAAAAAGTTGAAGTCTATTAAATCCCACCTTCATTCTCCCCTCAATCATTTTCTCTTCCCAGTTCCCACCTCTCTCTCTCTCTCTCTCTCTCCATTCTCCTTTAACCCAACACTGTCGTCCGATCCATTGCAACTGTTGGAAAATGGGGTCACTGTAACTTTGGAGGAGAAGCTATGAGGCGCGTCTGAAGACATTGTCTTTAGAACGTTATTTGCCCCCACTCAGTTTCACTGAGTTTGCTGTTGGGTTACAGGCAAATCCGTTCCCAAGATACAACAAAGCCTTGGGCGAGAATCTGCAACCAGCAAAGTTGAAGAATCTCCGGAAAAACCTTCTGTGAAACTGTAGCAGACCGGACTGAGAGAGAGAGAGAGAAAGTGGATTTCGAAAATGTGTGTTTTTGGAGTCTGATATTGGTTCAGAGAAGGCACATTGAATAGTCATAGTTTAAAAAGTAGTTAACAGTTAATGACTGTTAACTTTGAATCGTGCCTCTTGATCACACTCGATCGAATCGTGACCGTTGATCTCATCAACGGTGATCAACGGTCAGCATCGCACCAAAACCAAAGCCGCCCTTTGCGAGCCACGCGAGCGCACACAAAGTGCGCCTCTAAAGTGCCTCATTGCGCCGCACACATGCGCGTGCATGTGTGCGGTATCAAACCCCCATACTCTCCTTTACTATTTCTAAGGAGTGTAAATAATCTTTTATTAAAATATTGAAAACAAAACTTATAATTTTCCATGGGACAAGTTCAAAACTGGGTTTTGTAAGAGAAAAGCTAATTTTTCAATCAAATGTACATGTACAATTTCTCATGTAATTGACCAATCAAACCCATTAGATTTAATCTCTTGTGAGATTAAAATCCACCGGTAATCACCAGCAGCTCAGGAATGTTTTTCTCTCTCCCCTGTTATTTCCCTCTCTCTTGAGATTCTCTCTCTCCCCCTCCTTAGTTCTCCTTCAGCCGCCACCCGAACCAATACAACAAAGATCGCTTTAGATAACGCTTTTGTTTTACAGAATTGCTAGAAAGTTGATCATGTGTTGAATTCAGATATGAGAGAAATTTCTTAGTGGCACAATCCTTTTGGCCCCCATGCTTGCCTAGGTAGAAATTCAAGTTGAAAACCTCGAGAAGAGCAATCTATATAACAAACAGTTGATGAGATCTCTTCCACGATCCATCAAAAGCTTATTTGACAAGCAAAAACTCCTTCACAGGATTTTTTTTTTTCAGGTAGCAAACAACTGAGATAGCAAGATTGCAACAAGATGGATTTTAGCATAAACAAGCTCTCAACCCCAATCACCTTAGAGATCAACCAATGCAAGCTGCTAACATTCATTGATCAGAATAGGAGTGAGTTACCTGGTGGGATTCCACCTAAGATTAGAGGTATACGAATCTTCGATCAACTGAATCTATTGAGGAATATGAAAGATCATTTTGTAGGGAGCATTCCTATGTCTTTTTTTGCAGTGGCGGCACTAGATGGAGGGTTGGGTTGCCGATTAAGGAAGAGAGAGAGTTCCGACGGCGCACCAGTAACGGTGGACGCTGGACGGTGATAAGTTGTGAGAGCCTGAGAGGAGAGAGAAGGCAGGGAGAGAGCGAAGGAAAGTGAGGGGAAAAGGACTTTCGAGTCCAGACAAGAAAAGGGATTGGGATTTGGGCGGATTTTACCAACGTCCGTTAAACCTGGACTCCATTACTCTTGAAACTTATAAGTGACGTGGTGCTTTCTTATTCGTGGATGTAGAAAATTTTCTGAATCCCGGATGCAGAAGATGTGAACTCAAAATTACCCTACTCATTTTCATAATCTTATGGTTTGTGGAGAGTGGATACGTCATATAAACCACCAATTCTCTCCATTTCAATCACCATCTATTTTCAACACGATGGCACCATCACCACCACTCAAACCCATGTCATCGTTGTATCATGATCATCAATTGCACCATAAATTAGAATTGGTGCTTGGCAAAGTTTTCAGATTTTCTCTTCTTCACTCCTCTTCTCGTTGCCTTCTTCAATCACATAAACGCGTGATTGAGATGACGTCTTCGCTGTTTCCACTAGGGTTGTGGAGACCAGCTGATCAACTCCACCTATTTCCTCCTCCATGATACTGGAGTGGTGATTCCGGTCCTCTTTCAAATGGAGAGCGGGAATGCGACCACTGCAACTCTTGGGTGAGTGACTCTGTGGGCTCCATCTCCTTCTGTTACGCTTTGTTTATTGCTTTATCTTCTTCTTCTTCTTCTTCATATACCCTTTTGCTTATTCCCCTTCTTGTTGGGATTTTGGGTGGTCATCCATTGCCCTTTTTCCTTCATATGCTCTTGAAAGACTTTCTTGTTTTACTTTAGTTAGAGATTTTATGCTAATGGGCGCTTGATTGGTTATCACTTAAGTCTCATACTGGAGAGTCGTGCTTCGTTTCATGCATTTGGAGCCAGGGTGAGATAGCTTGGGGTTTATTGTTGGACTTCACCATGAATATGGTGTGGTTTCTACTCCATCTAGTCTGTTATTTTGTGGCACTCTCCTATGGGGTCTATACGAATGCTTCTTCAAGACCAGCCTATGTGAACATTGGAGCTATTTTGAGTTTCAACTCTACCATCGGTAAGGTAGCGAAAATTGCAATAGAAGCCGCAGTCGAAGATGTCAATTCCAATTCCGCTGTTCTTGGYGGAACCAAGCTGGTCCTTACCATGCAGGATACCCGCTATAGTGGATTTCTTGGCATTCTTGAGGGTAATGATTTMTTCTTTTCCTATTCATGTCTTGTTGGTTCTTATGCTAGTTGCCCCTTTCTATATCTCATTTCTGATTTCTGATACTCAACTGAATTAATCTATTAATCTCACTTGGATAATGATCYGTGTGTTTCAAATTTGTCTGGTTACAGCTCTAAAATTCATGGAGACTGATACTGTGGCCATAGTTGGTCCCCAATCTTCTGTTATAACTCATATAATCTCACATGTTGCAAATGAACTCCAAGTCCCCCTTGTATCATTTGCAGCAACAGACCCCACCCTGTCTTCACTTCAATACCCCTTCTTTGTCAGGGCTGTACMGAATGATCTGTTCCAGATGGCTGCAGTCGCAGAGGTAGTTGACTATTACGGTTGGAAAGAGGTAACTGCAGTCTTCGTTGATGACGACCATGGGAGAAATGGGGTAGCTGCATTAGGGGATAAACTTGCTGAGAGGCGTTGTAAGATATCGTATAAAGCTGCTTTGAACCCGCAAGTGAGCCGGAATGATATAACAGATGTACTGCTTRAGGTGACATTAATGGAACCGCGCGTCATTATTCTGCATGCTTATGCTGATTGGGGTCTYCAGGTATTCGACGTGGCCCACCAGCTTGGAATGATGGGCTCAGGATATGTTTGGATAGCTACAAACTGGTTATCTACTGTCTTAGATACGTACTTACCCCTGCCTTCCGTCTCCTTGAACTTGGTCCAAGGAGTTCTTGCACTGCGTATGCATATACCAGAATCTGGACCAAAAAGAAACTTTGTCTCTAGGTGGAACAACCWTTCTGGCAAAAAGAGGCTAGGTGGGCATCTTGGATTGAATACTTATGGCCTCTATGCTTATGATACTGTATGGCTACTTGCTCATGCAATTAATGCATTGTTAGATCAGGGGGGAAGTATTTCATTTTCTAAGGATTCAAGGTTAAATGATACCAAAGGAGGGAGAATGCATCTTAACGCAATGAGGATCTTTAATGAAGGGAATTTGTTGCTGAAAAAAATTTTGCAGAGCAACYTAACAGGTCTAACTGGTCCAATCCAGTTTGATTCAGATAGATCGCTTATTCATCCTGCATTTGATGTCATTAACGTTATAGGCACAGGGGTCCAGAGGATTGGTTACTGGTCTAACTATTCTGGCTTATCAGTTGTGCCTCCGGAAATTCTTTACACAAAGCCAGCTAATCGATCGACTTCAAATCAGCATCTTTATGATGTTACCTGGCCTGGACGAACAAAGACAAAACCTCGTGGATGGGTTTTCCCAAACAATGGAAGGCAATTAAGAATTGGAGTTCCTAACCGAGCCAGCTACCCTGAATTTGTGTCACAAGTAAGAGGCTCGGATAAGATGATTGGATATTGCATCGATGTCTTTAATGCTGCTCTAAACTTGTTACCCTATGCCGTTCCATATAAATTAATCCCTTATGGAGATGGTCAGAAGAACCCCAACTACAATGAGCTTGTGAATTTGATCACAACTGGTGTGAGTATGCAATGCATTATATTTTATGTAGACTAGTGTTTTTATTGCTATTATTTTTGCTGGTTTTCTGACTTGCTCTTTATAGTTTTTTGATGCTGCCATAGGTGACATTGCAATCGTCACAAACCGGACAAGGGTTGTAGATTTCACACAGCCATATGTTGAGTCTGGGCTAGTGGTTGTGGTCCCTGCCAAGAAACTAAGCTCAAGTGCTTGGGCATTTCTGCGGCCATTTACTCCAATGATGTGGTGCATCACAGGTATTCTTTTCCTTCTTGTGGGAGTAGTTGTGTGGATTTTGGAGCATAGGATCAATGATGACTTCAGGGGCCCTCCTAAGAAACAAGTTGCCACCATTTTATGGTAAGCACCCAAGAATCTTTGCAAACTTCATTTTCAAGCGTGGAAACTTAAAAATAAGGTATAAGGATCATGCAATTTTCTCTCTTTTTTCTCCCATATCAAATTACATTCATGCATTTTTTCTTCCTCATTCACAACATTTCTTATGTAATTTAACATCTAAAGGTTAATCATTAAAAATGGGTTTTGTTCAACACTTTGTACTTTGAAGGAACTTGTCAGTTTACTTGAATTTGCAAGGGTACATGATTCAGGAGATGAGAAACTGAGTAGCTTGCATTGGGATATGATATCTACTTATATGACAACATCAACTTTTGTTGGACCAGTTGGTAATTTCTCTGGTAGGTTGTAGTAGAGACTTGGGATCAAATCCCGTTGTCACCAGGTTTGGGGTTATGGGTATGGCGGATGGGCTACTCTTGTTGTATGGCCCCATGAAGGGAAGAAAACCTTATATGACAACAAGTTAAGACTCCTTTTAGTAGAGAAGTTTCTTCAAGAAAAATAAAAGAAATGTTGGATACTAGTCCAATTGCCAATGCCTAATGTAGGAATTTCATCTTTGAAGGATCCCTGTTGGGGAGATCAAGAGGTGGATGATTCAGATATTGCATGGTGTTGATGCCTGCCACAAGAATTTGATCATTCATCGAGATCTCAAGCCCGCAAATTTGTTGATTTCTATTGATGGCGTTTTCAAATTGGCAGACTTTGGACAAAATATATCAAGGTGGAGTCAAAGGAACTACTGATGGAAGAGGTTTTCCATAAAAAATAGATCAAAGTGAAGATCAAGGAAGGTGGAAAAGGAAGAATTTACCTTGTAGCGGCAGCGATTTCCTGGCTTCAATGCTTTCTCGATGGAGCAACGAATGTAAGTTGGTTAGTAGAGTGGAGAGACACCTTGAGACTATCAAGTAAAACCTACATAGCCAATAGGAAAAGAAACTCAAAAGGTTGGTTCGTAACATTGGAAGAAAGATTTGAAAAGGAAAGAAAGCAAATGGTCACCATACTGAAAGGTAAAAACCTAGCATGGTGGACTGGGATACCCAATGAAATGTATCAAATGGTAACCAAGATATGGTTGATAAAGAAGTAGAAAGCAGGAGAAACAGAAACACTCGGAGGAAAGGAAGAAGGAAGATAGGGTGGTTTCGAATGAGGAAATGAAGGAGAGAAGGAAGAGACTAGAAAAGCTGGGATTAGATGAAGGGCTAGATGAAGCTGAGATTGTTTGGTTGCTATCTCAACTACGGTACCCAAGATACTCTTAGAAGGGGAAAGCGAAGATTGGGGGAAAAATTAGTGCTCAATGCGAAGTGCAGGGTAAAGGATTGGAAATTAGTACTGGAAGAAGTCTCAAACAAACTGGGGCTGAAGTAGAAGACTATTCGCATGCCGTTTGGGGAGAACAAGGCCGTCTTGGATGTGGGCTTTGAGGAGGTAGGTTTCGCCACCATCGAAACTCGAAAGGGCACCATATTGGTTGAAAATTGGTGCCGTTCCTGTAACTCGAAGAGCTTCAATGATGGAAGTTTCTGTCTCAAACTGATAGGGTTACCTTTTATCTTATGGCGCAAACCTCTGTTGGAGAAGATCGTAGTAGCCTTTGGTGGTGCTCTCATCTCTTACAAAAAGATGAATCTGAAGGCGGTTGAATTGAGAATCGCAGGGACCAAGCTTGAAGCCATCTCTCGATCCTTTGACTTGCTGGTTGAAGGTACGTGGAGAAGGATTTGGGTTGCGTTGGACCTGGAAGCAACATTGTGGAGGGGAAGCTCAAAGGTTGAAGACGAAGATGATGTGGCTAGATGGGTGACATGTGGAGGTGAAAGAAAGGAGGTAGATGTCCATGCAAGCAGACAACCGGAGAGGAGTGTTGTGGTGGAAGACAATGTGTCAGGCTCTTGGGTGGATCGGTGTCTAGAAAAAGAAATTCGCTCAAATTGTGGGGCAAATGAAGTGGGGTTTAACTATATTAAGGGAAGACAAGCCTTTTTGAAATTACTTGACCCATTGGAGCGAACCGAAAGAAGAACTGACCAGGTGGCTAGTTGGGAGGAGGGTGGACCAACACATGCTAACTTTAGTAAGCACGTGAGCAGTCAACTGAAGAGACAATAGACAAAAAAATTGGTCTATAATCGTCTCCAGTCCGTTCAAGCACTTCCATAGATAAGATCAACCTGATTTGGAGGGTGCAGCAGAGGCGAGAGGATGAACGCCCAAATCCGAGGTTCTCCAGAAATCGCTAGGAGCATCTCGACGAAAGTGATTATGATGAAAGTAATTCAGATTTCAGAAGAGGAGTTTAAGTCTACCAGCTCGTAAGGAAACTTCTATGGTGAAAGCGAACAAGAACAAGGGGGAACCACCAAATAGATTTTTGAGGATCTTAATCTAGAAGCCTTCTTCAACCTCTGACTAGACCTTACTCCTTAGGCCCAGTCGAACTCCAAACCTTCTTCGTTTCAAGTTCACTTAGATAAAGTTGATGACCCGCATCCAAGGGAGAGGAACTTAACTAGACTTAGTTACAGACACAGAGGAATATTGAAATAGTGAAAGGTTTGAACCAGGAGACAAACACAACAACACCAAGCAAGAGTAAAGATCTCACACTAGGTCAATCCCATGTGATTCGGCCAGAATACTCCCTAATAAAAGCACTTGCCGAGTCAAGTATTAGGACTTTGGTTAGAGATCCCCACCTCGAGTCCTTCCTCCACCCCAGGGGTACAAGGTATTCCAAGTAACTCTGTGAATTTGCTTATGGTTACTAATGGTGATGGCTTTGTCTCTACAGATCCTACATATGCAAACCATGGCTTCAGAGAGCCCTAGTATATTGAATGTGCCAAGGGTGGAGAAATAGGGAATGGAGACCTAAGTGGGAGAGGAGAGGAAGGTGTACTAAAGGAAAGTGTAGAGAAGTTAGCCTTGTGTAGATAAGGAAGTGAAGGTGGAGGGGAGGAAACAGAGGTGAAAAGCCTAGGAGAAGGCCAATCAGATGAGGAAATCCCATTAAAGAAATGGGCAGAGAGGATGGGATTGAAAATCTCTAAGATGATTTTGGCCAAAACCCAAATGAAGATGAAGGCCAACTGGGGTAAAATAGGAAAGAGAAAATATAGGGAAGTGGAAAAACTAAGAAGCTATTGGGGTAAGAGGGTTAAGGAATGTGAGAGTAGTGGGAGGAGAAAAGGAAGATGAAGAGACCGGGAAGGGTAAAGGGGAGTTGACACCAAGGTAAAATGAAGATAGTGAGTTGGAATGTCAGAGGGTTGGTGAGAGCAACAAAAAGAAGGCTTGTAAAGGAAGTATTGAGGAGAGAGAAGCCAGACATTGTAATGATACAAGAGTCAAAGGCTCAGGATATTGATAGAAGGTGGATAAGAAGTTTTTGGGGAGGCAAGAGGATAGGTTGGGCTATGGCTCATTGGCTCCTTGCGGTGCTTCAGGAGGGATAGTCACCATGTGGAATGAAGAGACAATGGAGTGTGTGGAGGATTTAATAGGAAGATTCTTAGTGTCCGTAAAATTAAGGAAGGTAGTTGACAATTGCACTTGGGTGCTCACAAATGTTTATGGACCTAATTCATACAGGGAAAGAAATGAATTGTGGGAAGAACTAGCAGACATGAGAGGACTATGGCAGGGCCCGTGGTGCTTGGGGGGTGATTTTAATGTGATAATGTATCCTGATGAATCAAACAAGCTGAGACAAAGAGTATCCACCAGCATGAGGAGGTTCAATAATTTTATTGAAACCTTTGAGCTTAAGGAGATCGAAAGTGGTCAACTAAGATTCACATGGACTAATTGTCAAGAAATCCTTTATGCTCAAAATTGGACAGATTCCTCTTATCTTTGGATCGGGAGGAACATTGGAATAATGTGGTAAGCAGAATGTTACCCAGAATCACCTCGGATCATTGGTCGATTTGCATCCAACAAGGAGTAAGGGGAGAGGGGCCGAAGCCATTTAGATGCGAAAATATGTGGCTCACAGTCCCGGAGTTTGTACAAAAGGTCAAGAAGTGGTGGAAGGCAGATAACCCACAAGATGAATGGGAAGGCAATGCTGATAAGTAGAATTGGGGAGATCAATAGAAAGGAGGTAAGGGCTCTGGAGTCAAGAGAGAAGGAGGAGAGACTAAAGTTGAAAGGAGAATTGGAAACTACACTTTTGAGAGAAGAAATAACCTGGAAGTAGAAATTAAGAGTGCGTTGGATTAAAGAAGGGGATGGGAACACTGGATTTTTCCACATGGTTGCAAATGGGAGAAGAAGAAAGAATCAGATTTCTCAGCTAGAACTGAAAAATGGAACCAAGGTTCAAAGTATCGATACGTATCAGCCCGTATCGGTCGATACATATCGTGCCGGGAGCTTCCCAATATGCCCCTACAGGGGTTGTATCAGGTCAGAGGGTAGCCTAGACTTAAACCGACCCCTCTGAACCGGTTTTTTTTTAAAAAAATTAAAGATAGAATAAAACACCGGTACAGGCCCACTTTAACTAATCAAGATGTGATTGCTAAGGCTTTGGTGGATCACTTTAAATCAATTTTTAAAAGGCCTACTTCAGAAAGATGGAAGTTGGAAGGTTTAGAGTGGCCAGTTCTAGAAGAGCTGGTGAGCAGAAATTTGGAGAGAATGTTTGAGAAAATGAAGTGAAAGATGCAATGTTCTCAATGATTGAGCTAAGGCACTTGGGCCCAATGGATTCACGATGGCTTTCTATCAAGACTTTTGGGATTGGATTTACGAGCTAAGGCATTATGTGGAAGTGCATAAGAGCAGCTTTGTTGTGGACAATTTGGGAAGAAAGGAACACTAGAATCTTTTGTGAAAAAGAAAGGAGCTTCTCAGAAGTTAAAGAATGTATTCTGACAAGGTTAATTCAGTGGCTGAAAACTCTAAAGCTCTTTGATGCATACTCTTTTGATGACCTATGGAGAAGCTGGTTAGCAGTGGCTAATACTTTTACCAGGAAGGACAGACATGGGGTTCAATGGATGCCACCAGGGGAGGAGTTTATCAAGCTGAACTTTGATGGAAGTAGCCGAGTAAATCTAGGACCTTTAGGCATAGGAGTGCTGAGAAACAAAGATAGTGGCATTATATCTCTGTATTTATGTCCTACGGGTGTGGGAGACTCTTTAAGGGCCGAATTACTTGCTGCTGTACAAGGAATCCGGTTTGCAAATCAGCTAGGCATAGAGCATCTGATTATTGAAGGGGATTCCCAGGTGATAGTGGGTTGGCTGAAGGATCCGGACACTGTGATTTGGGGTTTTAGAGATCTTCTCAAAAATGTTAAATGGTTAACAAGGAATATGACAATCAGAGTTCAATGGGTAGGCAGATCGACAAACTCAATGGCTGATTCACTTGCAAGGGGTTCTCAAGGATACTTTATTTTGGGCTTCTGTGTAATTTCTTTTGTACTTATAATTTTGTAACTAGCTTTAAAGGAAAGGTTGCATCTCGTGCCTTTCCATGGGTTGCATGCAACTCTTATTTGTTGGTTTAATAAAATCTTACTCATTTATAAAAAAAAAAGAAAGTTCTTGAGGATTTTTATCATAGAGGAATTATCAGTAGAGGTGTTATTGCTACCTTCATTGCACTGATCCTAAAGAAACTTGGAGCTTGCCATCCCAAGGATTTCAGGCCATCAGCTTGATAACAAGCCAATATAGAATTCTAGCCAAGGTCCTCTCCCTGAGACTAAAAAAGGTCCTGCCTACAATTATTTCGCAGTTACAAGGGGCTTTCATCCAAGAAGGCAAATCTCGGACCAAATACTAATAACAAATCTGGAAAGAAAGGAATTGTGTGTGAATTAGACTTAGAGAAAGAATATGATTTTGTGGATTGGGAGTTTTTGTTGGAGGCACTGAGGAAGTGTAGATTTGGAGCAAGGTGGTGCAGGTTGATCAAAGGATGTCTACAGTCTTGCCATTTCTCAATATTGGTCAACGAAGTAGTAAGGGACTTCTTTGATGCTAGAAGCATAGTTTTCAAGGCATCTAGGCAATTCTGGGTGACACTGGGGCGCCTAGTCGCCTAGTCGATAAAAAAATTATAATATAAAAAACTAACTTTTGGCTAGTTTCCTAGTTTTATATCAGCATGTATGTTAATTGAAAAGATAGCAATTCTCTTTATTAAGAACATTAAATTTCCTCTAAAAATGTGGCAAATCATCACATCTAAAAGATAAAGATCTTTTACATATATTAATTTCATTATTTTCAAAAATAATACTACTATAATAAGTATTTAATAGAGCAAATTCATATTTATTAGCAGCTAAAGAAGGTTTTTAACTTTATATGATAAATATTCAAGATGGAAAGTAAAATAGAAAAAAAAAACAAGGATGGAGTTTCTGTTTTATTTAATTAGAGAGAGAGAATAGAAAAAAGAACTTTATTATTCTATTCTTTCTTTCCTCTTTCTTTTTTCTTTCTTTCTTTCTTTTTCTCTTCTCAAAACCCTTTGATCTTTTAAATTTCAATAGTAAAACATTAAAACAAAGTCTAATTGATATATATATATATAGCATATAATGAAATGTATGAACACATACATTAATAAGATACAACAATAGAAATGATATTATAAAAGGCGCCTGCCTTGTCATTTTTATCGCCTAGGCGGGCACCTAGTTGCTAAAAGCCAAGGTGTTTGAGCGAGGCGCCCAGCCAAGGGTGCCTAGTCGCCTAGGCGAGACGCCTTGGCAACTATGGCTAGAAGAGGAGTGAGACAAGGTTCGCCCTTTCTCTTCACTACCTTAGCAGAGGTGCTTAGTAGGTTGATCTCAAAGGCGGATGAGATGGGTATTCTGAAGGGATGAAGAGTGTGGTGGTAACTCATCTCCAATTTGCGGATGACATCATTTTTTGTGAAACTGGAAATGAGTTGAGTGCAAGGAACCTAAGGATGTTGGTTAACTTGTTCAAAAAGGTGACGAACTCTATGGCTGATGGTCTTGCAAAGCAAGGGGTAAAAAGGGAAAGCTTATATTGGGCTCAGTTGTAGATTGAATCTGTTTCCTGTTTCCTGTTTTCTGTTATCTGTTTTCTTTTTGTCTTTCTTCCTACTGTTAGGAGAGGACGCAGCTCGTGCCTCTCCATGGGAAGCTTGTAATTGCATTAGTTCTCTATTAATGAAATTTATCTTATTACTTATCAAAAATAAAAAAAAAGGTGACAAATCTGAAGGTGAATCTCAACAAAGAGTGTGGTAGTTGGGATCAATTTAACCCAAGAAGAAGTCAATTTGGGATCAATTTAACCCCCCTAGGTGCAAATCCAAAAAACTTGGGATTTTGGGAGCTGGTGTGTTATGGGCCCAGGAATAGGATCGCGTCACGGGTCGGTCCACGGGGAAAAGCTCCTGTTTTCCCTTGTTCCTCCCCTTCCTAGCTGAACCTATCTTGGCGTCCTAGAGGGTGATTTGTCCAAGAGATCACCGAACTCTCCTTTTACTCTCTTTCT